GGGGGGGGGGGGGTGAATCGAGCAGCCTTAATGGCCGGTGAACTCCGCTTCTCCTCTGCGCTGGGGATTTTATTTTCACCGACACCCCCTCCCGCTTCCCCCCCCCCTCCCGACATCGCTTTATTCCGGCTTTTATTCCTTCTTTTCAGCAAGCCCTTCAGTTCCTGCTGGCAGTGGTGGGGTTTCTTTCCTCCTCTCCCCCTCCCTACTCTCCCCTTCCCCTTCCCTCCTCCTTCTTGTTGGTTCTCAAACGCTATTTTTACATTTTTAGACTTCCTTCGCGAAGGATTTGGGTGCCTGGTAGAACTTTGCGCGTGCGGCGGCGTCCCCGGCGTGCGGCAGGGGTGGAAGGAGGCAGACACCCGGCGTGTGGCACCTCCGTGCCACGGTTTGGACTTGGAGGCAAAGCTAAAAATGGCGCGTTTTTACCCAAGGACGGCAGAGCAAACATTTTTTTTTTTTTCTGCCTCTGCCTACCTGAGGATCTGTTTCGGCTGAAACGATGCCTGCGGCCCAGCTGTCTAAAATTAGTGAGAAACGGAGGATTTCGTTTTGAATCCAGGTTGTGTTTTGGCTGGATGTGGCTCCTGCCTTTCACCCCGGGATGGCAGAGCCGGGAGTGAGCCCTGCACCTGATTTCCCTGAGTTTAACCCTGGCGGGGAGCGATGGTCCCATCCTGAACCACTCTCCGGGTTCAAACGACTCTCCTCCAGAAAGTTTTAGCCTCATTGAGGCGTTTCACTTTTTTAGTTTTTAGCCCTGTCCTGGGGGTCTTGGGGTGGCATTTGGTGTCAAACAGAGGGTTGCAGCGAGCGTGATGGTGCAAAGTGGTCAGGTTATATCATGGTGCCACTTGTCTAAAATGATCTTGATCTTGAGCGTCGCCAACCCAAGCTCTTGAAAAAAGCCAGAGTGGTTTCTTTGAAAAGAAATACTGAATTATTGGTGTGATTTTTGGAGTTTTCTTGGGACGTGTGTTCCCGGTTGGGACTCTGGAAGCTGTGGGGAGGCGTTTGGATGTTTTTTTGGAGCCTTCTTTCCCCACGCCCGCCTCAAAGCCGGTGCCTCAGTCGCCTTTTTGCCGCTTTGTTGGTGGCGTTTCTTTTTTTGGGACGTGCTCTTCGTAGCGCGCGGGGTTTTGCCTTGAGAAAAGGATTATTTGTGGTCGCTCGGCGATGGTTTTCTGCAGAGGTGGGGGGTACCTCGGGCTCCATCATCTCCTTCCCTCCTCTCGGATATCGCGATATTAGAAACGTCTTGTACGGCACGTCCACAAGAACCCGTTCGGTATTTCCAAAGTGTGGGGGAAAACAAACTGTGATGGTTGTGGAGTGTTTGGTGCTGCTGGAGAGAGTGGCTTCCCCCGGTCCCGTACCCGCTGTGGGGGTGTGACGAAGAGGGAGGGGGCGTGTGGTGTTTGTTTTTTTGGAGGAGTTGCTTTTGG